AACACTGGAGTGGGTTGCCATTTCCTTCTCCAATGCATGAAAGTGAAAAGTGAAAGTGAAGTCGCTCAGTCGTGTCCAACTCTTCATGACCCCATGGACTGCAGCCCACCAGGCTCCCCCACCCATGAGATTGTCCAGGCAAGAGTACTGGAGTGGGGTGCCATTGCCTTCTCCACCAATACAGTATACTAATGCATATATATGGAATTTAGAAAGATGTTAACAATGACTCTATATGCGAGACAGCAAAACAGACACAGATGTAAAGAACAGTCTTTCGGACCCTGTGGGAGAAGGCGAGGGTGGGATGATTTAACAGAAACATGTATATTATCATATGTGAAACAGATCGCCAGTCCAGGTTGGATGCACGAGACAGGGTGCTCAGGGCTGGAGCACTGGGATGACCCTGAGGGATGGGATGGGGAGGGAGGTGGGAGGGGAGTTCAGGATGGGGAACACATGTACACCCATGGCTGATTCATGCCAATGTATGGCAAAAACCACTACAATATTGTAAAGTAATTCGCCTCCAATTAAAATTAATTAATTAATTTTAAAAAATAATAACCCAGCAATCAATCCCATTCTGGGCATATATCCAGAAAAGATGAAAACAAAACTCTTTAATTCAAAAAGATATATGCATCCCAGTGTTCATATCAGCACTATTTACAATAGCCAAGACATAGAAACAATCTAAGTGTCCACTGGCAGATGAATGGATACAAAAGATATGATATGTATATATACATATATACAAACACACACAATGTAATACTACTCAGCCATAGAAAAGAGTGGCATATTGACATTTGTAGCAACATGAGTAGAAGTAAGACAGATAAAGAAAAATATGCTAACACCTAGAGACTGGCATACTGAGTGAAGTAAATCAGACAAAGACAAATATCATATGATATCATTTACAAGTGGAATCTAAAAAATAATATAAATTAACTAATATATAAAACAAAAGCAGACTCAAAGACATACACAACAAACTTACTGTTAGCAAAGGGGAAAGGGAGGAAGAGACAAATTAGATGTTTGGGATTATCAGATATACACTACTATACATAAAACATAAACAACAGGGATTTACTATATAGCACAGTGAACTATATTCAATATCTTGTAATAACCTATAATGGAAAAGAATCTAAAATATATATCAATATATAACTGAATCACTCTGCTGTACATCTGAAACAATATTGTAAGATCAGCTATACTTCAACTTTTTAAAAATAGTTAAACATTTTCCTGTTAAAAAAAATAATAAAACCCTGAGGTTTAGAAAAGTTGACTTGGCTTTGAGGCCTCAAAAGGAATAAGGGCCAAGTGTTCTTCTTATGTTTATATACTATCTTCATTTTCATTATGCTTTTTGATTACTCCACAAATACTTTTTACCTTGAAAAGTATAATTGACTATAAATGCAAGCAAGACATAAATAAGCATTAAGTTCCATAAAATTAAGACATATAAGACTTTTTTAAATAGTATAATCTTACCTAAATCGACATCTCGAATTCCCATGTATAATTCAAGAAGATCATCAACCTTTCCAATCGCCTTTTCTTTGGTTTCAGAAGGCTTTATCGAATAAAACAGAAATAAGACATTTTTACATGCAATCGCTTGAACACTGAGGCATACATGGGGGAAATCTGAAGTGGAGCCAGTTCCTGGTTGTGTACTTCAGCTAATTTTAATGGAAATAAATCTAGAATGTGCCCTGCAATTCAATACAAATCAATACAGTAAATACTTATTTTTAGTGTTTGTGGTAAGTATTATAGATTCAAAGAGGAAAAACTAGGAATGCTGTCTCCAAGCAGCTAGCAATCTAGAAGGGAGAGAGATGTGAAAATAAATAGCTATTTAACCACAATAAGGACAATTTCTAAAGGATGTCAAAGGCATGGAGGCATCACAGGGGCAATAGATTTTTTTATTAATTTATTTTTGGCTGTGCTGGGTCTTCTTTGCTGTTTGTGGGCTTCATTAGGTGAGGTTCAAGGGTTCAGTAGTTGCAGCTCATGGACCTTAGAATATGGGCTCAGTAGTTGCAACACTCAGGCTTAGTTGCCCCTCGGCATTTGAGGATCTCCCCAGAACTGGGATAGAACCCAGGTCCCGTGCATAAGCAGGAAGATTCTTAACCACTGGACCACCAGGGAAGTCCCAGTGGAAGTAAATTTAAATCTCTAAGAGTCCAGGAAGACTTCAGAAAGGTGACTTAAGAACTGTGTTTTCAAAATTAACTGGTGTCAGATAAACCAGGACAGATAGAAGCAATAGAGACATGAAGTCAGTGTGGGGTCACAGAGTCTGATAGAAAAGTGCAGCAAGTTAAAGGGACTGCAAGACATCCCATGTGATGGGAAATAGAGCGCCAACATGACTAGATCTCAAGGCGTCCTGTGTGCCTTGAAAAGGGCAGAGCTCACCCCAAGACTACAATATCCTGAACACATACATCTAATTATTTGTACAGTAGTCCTGCACCCTTATCTGTGGTTTTGCTTTCCTCCTCAGTTACCTCAGTCAACTGAGGTCCAAAAATATTAAATGGAAAACTCCAGAAATAAACAGTTCCTAAGTTTTGAATTGTGTGCCATTGAGTAATATAAAACCTCACACCACCTGCTCCATCCCAGAACCCCCAACCATCGACATCATCTGCTCCTAAGATCCAACCTTCCCCATCATCACAGCTAGATGATCCTCCTGACCTAGAGTAAGAAAGCTAATGGTAGCCTAATGCCACGTCACAATGCCTGCATCATTCACCTCACTCCATCTCATCACACTGGCATTTTATCATCTCACATTAGCACAAGAAGAGTGAGTCCAGTAAAATAAGATCTTTGAAGAGAGAGACCACGTTCACACAGCTTTTATTATAGTACATTTTCTACTTGTTCTATTTAACTATTAGTTGTCATCAACTTTTACTATGCCCAATTTATAAATTAAACTTTATCATAGGTATATATGTACAGGAAAAACAGTATACACAGGATTCAGTACTATCCACAGTTTCAGGCCCCCATTGAGGGGTTTGGAACGTGTCTGCTGTGGATAAGAAGAGACTACTGTATCCATTCTTTATCAACTACATACATAATACGTGTATTAAGGGTACTGAAGTATTTTTGTTCTTCCTAACTATTTAGTAAAAGTTTCTATGAAAAAACATGATCATATATATTTTATTTATATGTATGTATATATGTATTATGTATTATATATGTATTTATATATAAATAAAGTTATTTACATTAACAATGAGACAGAAGACATGATATATCACTCTTGACATATTTACAATGTATTTTGAATAGTCTGTGTAAAGTGACAGGCTATGCAAAGTAACTTAGGTATTTATCTTTGCATCTATCCAGATACATTGCAGGTTATTGCAACAAGTATCAGTACTTCTCACACAAAAATGGCCACCAATATCGTACTATTCTAAACAGTTCTTGATCTCATCATCCCTCTTCCATTCACATTCTGATTGCCTGTGTTCAGTCCTAATTTTTTTAATTGAGATATAATTGACATATACCATTAGTTTCAGGTATACAACATAATGATTTTATATGTGTATATACTGTAAAAAAAAAAAACCACAGTAAGTCTAGTTACCCATCACTACACATAGTTTTCTCTTCCTTGTGATGAGAACTTTTAAGATCTAGCCTCTTAGCAACTTTCAAATATATAATACAGTATTATCAACAATAATCACCAAGCTGTGAGTCCATGCTCAGGACTTCCTTATAACTGAAAGTTTGTACCTTCTGACCCCCGTCGTCCATTTCACCCACCCCACCTGCCCAACTCCCTGCCTTTGGCAACAACCAATCTGCTCTGCGTCTATACAAGGTGTGGTTTGTTTTGTTTGGAATGGGAGAGGGGGAGATAATAAAACTGAGGTCATCCAATATTTGTCTTTCTCTGACGTATTACACTATTGTTCAGGTCCATCCACAACCTACAAATGGCAGGATTTCCTTCTTTTGACTGAATAATCCTCCCTCGTCTTTTCTTATTTGCAAGGTTTCCTAATTGGTCTCCCCACCTGCAATCCTCACCCTTGCAAATCTACTCTGTTCAACATTCCATCCCCTAGAACCAAGGGATTTTTCTAAAACACAAAACCGACTTGCTGCTCCCCTGGCAATTTTTAAATAGCCACCCTCCAATCCTCAGCATTATTTACAGACCCTTCATGCCCTGACCCAGGCCTCTATCTCCAGGGTCAACACCTCCCACCAGATACTTTCAGCAGCCACACTCCAGGCTCACGAACATTTACAAGGTCCCATATCCATTATCATTTCATGCCCAGAACACTCTCCATCTGTGACTAACTCAACTATTTCTTATGGAAGCAACTCTCCCAATTTCCCTCTTCACTGATTCCTAACTGTAGCTCATCAGCTAGCCCCTTCCTTGTGCCATTAACCTTGCCCTTCTGGTTTGTAACAGTTTATTTTCATGCCTCTTCCCTTTAAAGGAAAAACAAGGTCTTTAATCACTTTGTGTTACCAGCACCTGGACTGTGCCTGTCTCAACAAACACACCAAGTAACTCATGCAAGTGGAGTACTGTTCAGTTTTCAGAATTTGTGCTAGGTGATGAGGGGCTGCTTGGTTTCAAATCTTTACTGTTTGAAATTAAATCATAGATCATTTGTATCAAATTTAATATTAGTGCCAAACTAGTTTTTTTTCCCCTTTATTATGAGCTACTTTAATTGCCTTATTTCAAGAAACAGGCTATGCAAATAGGAAGAGAGATTTAGATGTTTATCTTGGAATGAATCTTTCCCACCGCCTCAGGCAGATCTTCAGTTATTCTTTTTCATTCCAGCACCTGATACACAGCTGCTGCTCATAAATAAACAGATTTGTGTGACTCACAGGAACTGTTAGAAGACGGCCCCCCTCCTGAAGTGACATGGAGCTTTTCCTGCCGACTCCACTTCCTAAGCAAGCAGTTTGAAGGTCTGTGCTTTTCCCCTCCCAGCCTCCACCGCAGAGCACAGCTGGGACCCCCAACTCCTTCCCACTGTCCTTTCACCCTCTTACAGAGGCCTTTCTTCCACCCAGGTGTGTTCAGTTGTTCAATGAACGCTTACTGGCCTTCAGCAATATGCCTGGCAGCAGGCTGGGCACCGAAAAAGTAAAGACTCTGAATTGACCAGAAATTACTGCACAGGGTTTTTTCACAAACCTCATCATCTCTCACTTTCAAAATGCTTCTGGCTCTCCAGGGCCTCTCCGCCATCACCAGCCTCCATTTCAATCTACTCATTCACCCAGGAACAAGACACCCAACTCGGAATCTTCCTCTGGAGTCCCCAAAACTGACAACAATCTGGGTGACTCCAACGTTCAGGAAGACAACCTTGGCCTTGTGGTTCCTTAAGTATCTGCTCCAACAAACCACACCCATGACTGACCCTGACACCATCCCCCACAAGCTCTGGATCCTATGATAACAGCCTCCTTACCATTCATCTGTCTCACTCTCTGAGCAGCTGGGAGCCCTAGGACAGACACAGACACATCCCTCCCACCCCAGGCAGGCACTCTGGGGCTCAGAGGCCTGCCTGTCCTGCTCTCCCCTCCCCAGAGGGCTTCATCACTGCTGTCTTCCTGTGGTGAGCAGGCCTGCATTTGCCACTTTGAATCCTCATCATTGCTGCCCTCTTCTGCTCTCCTTCCCTCCATTCATCTCTTCTCCTGGTGTTTTTCACTTAAATACTGACCTTCTCATAGGCACAATCAGCAAAACCCTTCCTCCCATCAAGCATACACGAATCACTCACTAATTCATTAAATTCAAAGATCTGAGCTCCTCTGAAGTGTCAGGCACTGTTCTAGGTGCTGGAGATAGGGCAGTGATGAGATCAGATGAGAACAAGACAAGGCGCAAAAAGGAAACAAAGATACAGTGAGGCCCAACAGGTTCAGCGCCTTAGAGAAAATAAAGGGCAAGGAAGATCGGGCAGAGGGCAGGTGGTGGGAGCTGCTATTATACTAGCACACTCAGAGGTTAGACAGGGAGGGACAAAGACAGAAATTGAAGGCAGCAAGAGGGTGAGCCGTGCCCATAAGTGGGTAGAGCATCAGCCAGATGTAACAGCTCATACAGAGGTCCTGAGATGGGGATGTATTTAGAGTGTTTGTGGACAGCAAGGAGACTCCAGTGGCTGAAGCAGGGGGAGGCAGGAGGAGAGAGAGACATAGATGAGATCAGAGGAGAAACACACAGTCAGATCATGCTGGTCCCTCTGAGGGTGTTAGCTTGTTACTCTGAGGGAACCCACTGGAGGATTTTGAACAGATTGTTACAGATTGTTACAGATTCTGTAAGATTGTTACAGAAAAGTAACAATCTCATTTGTATTTTCAAAGGATAACCCTAGTTGCTATGTGGGTAAAGAGGGTAAGAAGGCAAGGGAGAGAGAAAGCAGGAAGCATGAGCTGGTGACCACAATAGTTGAGATGATGTTGGTGCCTTGGGTCAGAGTGGTGGGGCCAGAGGTGGGGAGAAGTTGGTCGTTCTGGTCTGCTGTGGAGGTGGATCCACCAGGATCTGCTGATGGAAGGGATGTGGGACATGAAAGAGGAGACCAGATGATTATCAAATGCTTTGCCTGAGGAGACTGGTTTTCATGAACATCATCTTCACTATCAAAATCTCAAGTCTGTTTACTCCTACAGGTGGCTCAGTGACTTTTTCTTAGATCTCAGAGAGCTTTGGCTGATTTAAGTTTTTGAGGCAGTCCAGATGTCTGTATACTCTAGAAAAAATTGACTGCAGGTAGCTGAGGACTGCTGTATCACAATCTCTCCTCACACACATAGTTTCTGTATTTCCTTTTCAAATGCCTTCAATAACTTTTATACTGTCTAAGTAGGCAATGAATTAAAGACCATGCCTTAATTAGAATACAAGGCATTTTACATAATCTTGTGATTTTACCTTTATTTTCAGCTCTGACAAACATGAATGTTCATGCATTTCCAAGCCAAATAGGAATTAAGTGAACCTAACATACCACTTCCTCCACAGTGGCAGGGCCTTTCGATCTCAGACGAAGTGTCTCCCTTCCCGTACCAATCTTTCCTGTTGATGACTTTCCAGCTTTTGACCTGGGCTCCATATCTATAAAAATACAACGGATAGGGAAAGGTACATATATTAAGAATTTCAACTGATGGCTATAAAAGCTAATGGAGTTTCCATCACAAATTTTTGTACATTATTGTGAAATTTGATAAAAGCTATGCCTCTTGATAGAACTTCCCAAAGTAAATTCACCTGTCATCCATTTTTCTCACACAAGAGTCTCTCAAATGATAGAGAGGTATGGGAGTTCTGGCTACAAAAAGAAAAGGGAATATGTGAAATGTGCTGATGGGGAAGACTGGAAGTCATAAGGAACAAAAATTAAAACAGTTGCTCTTATTGTAAGAGTAAAGAAGTCTATGCGGCGTGAAGGCAGAGGGTGGTGTGCAGCTGGACTTCATCAGGGTCACGAGAAGGGAGAGTCATGTCTTCAGAGAAGACAGGAATGGAGGCACCATTATTTGAGGACCTACCCTCTGACTGACACTTTACAAATCCCATTTAGTTCTCGCACTAACCTAAGAGGCAAGTGAGAGCCATCACTTTACAGAAAAGGAAACTGAACTCAGTAGAGATCGGAAGTGACGTTTTAGTCATTCAGTCACGTCTGACTCTTTTCAACCCCCTGGACCACAGCCCAGCAGGCTCTTCTGTCCATGAAATTCTCTAGGCAAGAATCCTGGAGTGGGTTGCCACTTCCTTCTCCTGGGGATCTTCCTACCCAGGGATCAAACCTGGGTCTCACATTGCAGATGGCAGATTCTTTACTATCTGAGCAACTAGGGAAGCAGCTGGAGGTGGGATTCAAGTCCAGGTCTTGTGACCCCAAAGTCTGTATGCATTTCTCCACAACACTTCACCACCACACCTCTTGGAAGCACAAGGAATACATTCAGAGGTGGATGGATGAGAGGGGCAGAGTCCTCAGGAGGCTGGGAACAGGTTCCCAGGAAGGAGGTCCTCTGAGAAGACAGGAGAGAACAGGGTGCGTGATGGAACAAGAGTTCACAGGGTGCTGCTTCTTTCTATGTGTGTGTTTTATTTCAGTTGCATTTTTCCAACATATCAAGAGTTACCCCTTAGTACCAGACAGTAACATAAATGAGTGAAAGGATAGAATGGAAATGGAAGATGACTCCTAGGAGGTACCCTATCTAGGCCACTCCAGCGACTGCCTGCCCTGTCAGAAAGTAGACACTGCGCAGACAGATCTTCTGTTTGTTTGCAAAGAAAATGAATGCTCAGTTTTGTGCCAGATTTTTAACTTTTAGCAATTAAATCAAACTTTAAAACAACACAATGACAAAAATAAAAGATTTGTGGATCAGGTTCCAACCACAGGCCACCAGTTTTGAGCTCCTGCAGGCATCCCCTGGGTCCTCTTGACTGAGGACTCTGGGGCAGCAGTTTGGGGCGAGGATGGAGGGGGTGGGGTGGGAAGACACAGCAACCAGCCCAGGAGATAACTGAGCTCTGATGCAGAGTTGCAGGGCAGGCTGTGGTACGTGAGCGGGCAGTGAGGTCTGTGCAGAGCACTCAAGGACATCAGGTGGTCTGCACGAATGCATCCTTCCTTATAATCAATGGTAATTTCCATCTTTGGCAAGCCCTGTTTCACTATTGGGGATCTACACCAAGGTGGGTAGGATTTTACATGTTAATTTTAACATGTATTTGAGGACAGAGTCACCAAAGCATAAACATAAGTTTTCCTCTGAGAGTGAAATTATTAAAAATAATAATTGAGGGACTTCCCCTGTGGTTCAGTGGTTAAGACTTCACCTTACAATGCAGGGGTGCAGGTTCAATCCCTGGTCAGGGAGCTAAGATCTCACATGCCTTGTGGCCAGAAAGCCAATGCATAAACAGAAGCAATATTGTAACAAATTCAATAAAGGCTTTAAAAATGGTCCACCAAAAAAAAAAGATCATGTGGTACCCAGGACAGTTCCCCTAACCCCAAACCTCTAAATGATAGCTGACAGTGCTCATGCTGATCACGATGACCTGACAGATGCTCAGGAGACTAGAGCTGTATCAGCAAGTTTACAGCATCTGCCTTGGCAGTCACACTGTGTCCCATCAGAGGGAAGAAAATTAACAGCAGGAAAATGCTCACTCAGCACAGAGTTTCCAACAGAATACCCACAGAAAAAGGTGAGGTCAGTCACCAACACTGACCATGATTCGGCACTGACCAGGCTGGAGTCATGTACAGACGTATGACAGTCAAGACAGCCTCAACCTGAACGATGCTAACCTCCAAGATAAACAACCTTACACACATCCACTGAGATTTCACCAAGCAACCCACTCCATATAATTTGTCTTCCCATGGAAGTGCCCTGAGAGGTGGGAAATGCTCAGTTAACACCTATGTTTGGTCTGCCACTACATACACATTTCTGATTGCAAAGTAATACACAGGCGTTCTAACTTATCAACAAGTCTTTTGTAAATTTGGTAAGCATGATATAACCCTAGAAAATTGCCCAAGTCTGGATACACTGAAGAAATTAAAGATTTCTGGGATGTATGAAGCTAAGGACCCAGGCTCTGGAATGCTGGAACTTCACGGAGGGGTTGTCATCCAGGCTTGAGAAGTCAGCCAGCTTCCCTATGTCTCTATGCACCTGGCTCTCACCTGAAACACCAGTAGCTAAAAGAGAAAATGTGATATAGAATGGAAGATTGTTTTCTAATAGGTTTTATTTTTTAATGCCATGGTCTTTCCAGTAGTCATGTACAGATATGAGAATTGGACCATAAAGAAGGTAGAGGGCCACAGAATTGATGCCTTCAAACAGTGGTGCTGAGGAAGACTCTTGAGAGCCCCTTGGACTGCAGGAGATCAAAGCAGTCAATCCTAAGGGAAATCAACCCTGAATACTCATTGGAAGGACTGATCCTGAAGCTGAAGCTCTAGTACTCTGGCCACCAGATGCGAAGAGTTGACTCATTGGAAAAGACCCTGATGCTTGGAAAGACTGAGGGCAGAAGGAGAAGAGGGTGATAGAGGATAAGATAGTTGAATGGCATTGCCAACTCAGTGGACGTGAACTTGGGCAAACAACAGAAGATGGTGAGGGATAGGGAGGCCTGGCATGCTGCAGTCCATGGGGTCACAAAGAGTCAGACATGGCTTGGTGACTGAACAACAACTTTTTAAAGCAGCTTTAAGTGCACAAAAAATTGAGAAGACAGAGCTCTCCCATACACGTCTTGCCCCAATATATGCATCACCTCCCCCATGATCAACACTCCCCACCACAGTGGTACATTCGTTACAATCAATGAAACTCCACAGATTCATCACATCACCTAAAGCTCAGTTTACATCGTGGTTCACTCTTAGTGCTGCATATCCTATAGGTTTGGAAGAATTAATAATGCAATGTATTCATCATCACAGTATCGTACAGAGTAGTTTCATTGCCCTAAAAATTCTCTGTGCACTGCCTGTTCACCCAGATTTTTTTTTTTTTTAATCATGTTTGTCATCTTCTGCTCCAAAGTGTTATCTCAAAGCCAGCCACGTGGTGGCGCCAAAACAAAAGCTGAAATTTTCATTCTGGCTTCGCCTCCAGAAAGGCAGTTTTTATGGCTGAAGAAAGAAGCCATGTTCCTCTACCATTCTGATTCTGGGAAGAAAATCAACCGGTTTATATATATAACCAGGCAGGATGGTCCTGTTAGCCTGCAGGGGAAAGAAAAGCTTTGTTTTTTTTAATGTTTGTAAATGCTGTTAATCTGACTCACTTGTAGGATGCTGGCCTGTCTAAGCTTCTCGAACCATCCAGGCCAAGCCCTAAATCCCCCATTTCACTCCTCATGAATGAATGTGCACAAGGCCTCTCTTGGGGAAGAGCGATGAGAGGAATGCAGTTCACACAGGAGACCCCGGTAATCAGTCTGCAGCTCCAAGGATCCACTAGACTCTGGGCTCCCCCAGGCTCCCCACGCCCACCCCATGTCACCCAGAGCCCAGGGCACTCACCGCTCAAGGCTACAGCGGGCTCCCACAGCTGAGACGGACATCACCAGGAAGCAGTCGTCTCAACTCCCAAACCCTTTCGTGGCAACTGTATCTATTACTCTAATTATGTAATTTAATTTAAAACTATATGAACTGATGAAAAGTGTGAAACAAAAGAGTTATTATTACTAAGAAAACTAGGTTAACTGCTTTGGAAAGACTCCATAAAGGCGAGTTGGGTGGGGGGGTGGGGGAAGAAAGGTGTGGGCAAGATGACACAAGGAGATTCGAAAAATATCTTTAAACATCCAGCATTTCACATATCTGGGTTTTAGATATGAAACAGACCCCATAGATGTGCATTACCGTTCTGATTACTAAAGAAAGACTAATAGCACTTCAATTTGTGTCCTCTCAGAGTTTTTTACATCTGAAGAGTAGGGAAAGAATGAAGATTTATGTTTTAAATAAAATGCTTATACCTACTTGTCATTTTTTATGATACCATTTTAACTGGCATTATCAGTAAACAGCCCGGCCCCTGCCATATCATGACACTCAGGGAGAGATGGGGGAACAGAGGAGGTGGGGAGATGTCTGTCTCTGGTCCCACCCTGAGCCCCAGGGCCAGAGGAAGGCTGACATCAGCCAAGGCCCTGTCTTCAGGCAGAGAACCAGCAAAGCAAGCTGAGCTCCCCAACCCCCACAGGGCGTGTGTGGGGAGGCGGGGCATTCCCCTGCTTTTGCACAGAACAAGGTTTTGTTCTGTTCCCCTGAGGGCCTAAGTTGGCCTGGAGAACAATTCGGAGTAGGCTCAGAGCCCTGATGTCCATAAGAGGAGGGTAGGTACAGACACAGCTGTACCCAACGAGAGATGGACTTCATGATCAGAGACTCTGAGTTAAACACAGCTCCCCATGTACAAATTCTGTGAAGTTGGGAATAAGGCCTCATCTGTAGGGATGCCCTTGTAGCTCAGTCAGTAAAGAATCTGCCTGCCATGCAGGAGGCCTGGGTTCAATTCCTTGGTCAGAAAGATCCCCCGAAGAAGGGAAATCTC